AGCCAGGAAACAGACGTGACTGGGGACTGTTGCCCTCATGGGGGGCAGAGACCGTAGCTCTCCACTTCCCAGCAAGACTTCAACCAAGAGTAGTCAATTTATCTTTAAGTTGATTTATCTTTCTCTCACTCTAGGATGGTGATTTGACAAAGAAAAATTTTAGATTTTTAAGGCTGTGATTGGCAAATTATATACTATCATACCCCAAAGATTTATAAGTCAAAATATCTAGATTTTCCCCAGATCTTTGAACACTCCCCAGTCGACCTCCCTCTTTAGAAAACCTCTCTAAGCAGAGAGAGGTTTCCAGCTCTGGGAATGCCCTCCAGGCAGGCTAGTGGACCCTGGCTTGAAGGTAGAGCCCCACCTTGGACAGGCTTGGACGCCTTGACAGCTCGCCTTGGGTAAGAGCATTCTCCACCCCAGTTCTCTCAGTCCTTGCAGCAGGTCTCTGATAGTCACTTCCCTAGGTCTGTAACTTCAAGGGTTCGCTGTGTGCATGTCCACAAATTTGTTCAGTGGGGGTTTTAGGGAAATATCTAAACATGGGCCCTATGTATCCCCTGCGTTGCTCTAAGGTACAGATCTGCAGCATGATGGCTCTGTCATGTTGAGGCCAGAGGACAAATTCCAGCACATATCAAAACAATGCTTGCATAGTCTCAGTGTTTCTCACTCATCTAAAAAGACCCCTTACAGGTAGCTTTAATGCATCCAGCATGAAGGTGGTGCTGTGATGAACCAACCCCAGGTCTCCTCAGTGAACTCCAACAACTGCCAGCAATTCCCAACCCGGCCCATCCTCACCCTTCCACTTCCCTATGGCCCCAAAGGAGACGCGTCTGAGTCAGTCTGCAGACCTTGCATCACAAAATCACAAATATTTTGTCCAATTCTATGAGATAAAAGAACCTAAACACATTTACAATACCTTTATCCTACATGATATAATCAAAAGTAAATTTAAAATTATATCAGATATCTAGATTGCACATTACCTTAATTCAATCCCTATGTTTTACACTTAGTTTCACAAACCAGGGCTAAGAATCTCACATGTGAACTCACTGCATGCCTCTAGATAGGTTTTGATCGTAGGTCCCCTCCCTTTATCTCCCCCTGTATTTTATATGTTTAAGGAACAAGGTAGTATGTTCTGTACATTTTCCAGAGTGCATTTTTGTGGCTTATTTTATCATGTTCCTCTGGCTTTGGTTCTGGTTAATTAGTGGATATACATGAAGATTTATTACATTAGATTCCCCTTTCCATCCCCACTTCCTTTCTTTTCTTCCTTGGTATTAACCTTTCTTGGGAGGTGCTTTGAACCTACCGACCTCCTTTCTATAATGTTGGTGACCAGAGACCCTTGGCCCAGATCCACCGCTCATCAGAAGGTCTGACAGGAGCTTCTTCTGATTGCAAGCTCATATTTGTGGTGGCACTGCCTCCTCTTATGTGTGAATTCTCTTCCAGGGACTAGTGTCATGGTCATTTTGAGTCTTTCTGTCTACTAATGTAGAATGTCTTTGTACTTGTTAAGTCAATTTGGATTTTCAGGGACATTTAAAGTTCCCCTCACTTAGATTATTTACCTAATTATAATGATTCTACATGCTTTCTTCTTTTCTATTTCACCTGCTAATAATGTTTCAATACGCTTTTGATTCTCCACATGGACCTTCAGCTTGCTCCTTTGTCACGTTCTCTCACAGTCTGTAGCAATGGTCTCCTTCATTCTCTGGGGTTCTCTCTGTAAACCACAGTGTCTGTAAGTAGAACCACTCACTCCCTCTCCAATGCTTGTGTCTGCCTGGCCTTCATTCTGCGGCACGCTGGGCAGTGTGATGTGCCGGCCTGGGCCTTGCCTTGTTTGTCCCCTGCCACCTTGGGCACTGGGATTCGCCCTCTGGTGCGTGCTGGACTGTAGAGCCAGTCCTCCAGGGTGGAGGAATCTTCTGCAGCACTAGAGGTGACTCTCGTAATAGAGGAAGTGAGACCTTATGGAATCTGGTTACAGACAGTGAGGCCACAATGACCTTAACAAGTTAAGGGGCAGGTCTAACTGTAGGATTCTAGTGCACCTTTCTCCTGCCAACCGACATCAACTTAAAACTCTTTCTCATATTAATACGAGTCATAATTCTGGAGAAACATGGATCATTAGAACCTTGTCATGGATGAGCCAGAGTCTCCCCCATAAGTCTGGGTGTTTCCTACCCCTGGTGAGATGGAACGAGGAGGGGGGGCCTCTAGGAGGACAGGTGGGCTACGGGGCTGTGCTCCTCTGGAGAGGACCAGTGTCCCTACAGAGAGCTCCTCCTGTCCTTCTACAGTCTGAAGATTCAGAGGAGATGAAGACAGAGCCCTCATCAGACACAGAACTGACCTTGGGCTCCCCAGTCTCCAGAATCTGAGCAAGGAACTTGCTGCTCACAAATGATCCATCTGAGGTATGTTGTTAGAGAGGCACAAACCATGCAAGACCAAGAAAATGGAGATAGGACTTCCTATTAGAGGAAAACACTCCCTGTTAAGAGTGTTTGCCAAGTTCTCCATCAGTCTGTAGCAGCCCCATGAGCAGCCATTTAATCTTGTAGAGGACACTGAGGTTGGCGATGCTGACATTCTGGGGCACACCCTGACATCCCCTCAAGGATGTCCCTCTTGTAAACTCCTGTCAATCTTCCTGTGGAGGAAAAGTTGCCAACACACAGGCACCTGACTTGGGAGCAAGGAAAATCTCTAGCCAATCGACGATGAGGATCTCTTTCTTATGGACTTTTTCTTTAAATTTCAACAGAAAACATATTTGTTAAACTTCAATTATATACAAAAATGCTGAATCAGACACAGTTCCAACGCCCCAGGAGTTGACATTCTCATGAGCAGCTGACAGATCAGTCAATAAGCTCCAAACAGAGTAAAATAAATACTTAGAAGAGCTCCAAGGTCTTTCTAGGTCTGATTCTGAACACAGCAATGATTTGCTAAGCATTTTGTTGAAAGTCGTGGTGGAATGAAGAATGAGGAAGCCCACCTTCCCTGAGCATCAGGGGAATCTAGAATGTACGGCTCAAGCCAATGGCCTTTATGAACACAGCTCACAAGAGAGATTAGGAACTGCTGAGCCAGCTTGATACAAGACATGCATTCATCATTACGAAAATGATTTTACCTTCTAAATGACTCCTATTCGCTACTGTACACAATAGCAAAGCAAAACTGTTAAGATAATGACATTTTTAAACAAATATTTATTATTTGCAAATTACAGTCTAAGACTTGATCTTGACATTTATTCCCAATTGCCTAAAACTATCATTTAACAGGGATTCTTTCTTTACATTCAGAAAAAAATGTTATTCTCAGGCTGTAAATACATCATTAAAACAGCAGACAGAAAGAATAATGGGCTCATGCAATTGCAGAGTAATAAACGTATTTAATCAGAAGGCAACGTGAGTCTGGTGTACGTATGGTCTATCTGCACAGGCCTTGGAGGGTTGAGTCTGGTGCGGAGGAGTGGGGGGAGGCCAGGCCCCCGACACAGGACATCACACAGCATCACCCCATCTGTGAGTCCTCCATGTCCCTTAGCAGGACGTGGACAAGCTAGTCAAGCTCTACACACATGAAAACTTGTGCGTTTCCTAAGGCGGAGATGTGAGGAATTGACACCCATGAGGGACAACCTTGAGCTGAGAAGCAGCTCACAGGGGCCCATGTCCTGAGTGACCGTGTCATCTCCTGGTCACACCTGACTGCCTTCTTTCTAATCCTGGCCACTCTATTTCTTATAGTAAGCGATACCCAAGTAAATACATGAAGCTTTCCTTTTTCTCATGTCTGCAAAAACATGAAAAGAGAAGAAACCCATGGTTTCATTTCAAACTGGACTTTTGTCAGATTTTGTCAGGAAGGAGGTTCATGCCTGACTCCTTAGATCAGGTGAGACAGCACGAGATGTCAGATGTACATGCAAGATGATTCACAGCTTTTGTAGAACTAAAATCGTTGGGATTTTTAACATTTATAAGCCTTACCACTTTCAACAGCAATGGTAGCTGTGAACATTTCTTCAAAATGTGCCGTGTCTGGCGGAAGCATCAGAACCGCTATTGTGTGCTTATGTTCATTCCCACAACTCTGTGCGTGTGTCATTACCCCCCGTTTCATAATGAGGAGACCAGTGTTTCCTACAGGTTCTTCATCGTGGCCCAGGCATCTCTGCTAATATAAGCCACAGAACTGGGTTTCAAATGGACTCAATTCAAATCCTTGTCCAATGTCACTGATCACCACATGTATACTTTAAGAAAATAGGCCCAGATTTCAGGTGACAGAAAACTCAATAATAAAGCAATAGCAAATTAAAAATTCTCTCCAAATGCTGGACAATTATAATTCTTCCTTAACAACATGCAGCTTAGGTTTCTGTCTGTCCACCTGTAGCTTTTCACAGGTTATTTTCCTTCTCCACTTTGCTAAGGCAACATGTATTTCTATACTCTTCTTTAACGTTTAATTTTAGTTCTCCTTAATTTGATAAATCTATTCATGCAGCATTATTAAGATGCCTAAGAAATTCAATGCTTTTAAAATGCACTAGACTGTGTTTGGATTGAAAATCACCCATGTTTCTCTAACAAGTTTTTCTGAGTTTCCAAGAGTCCTGTGCATGAGTGCTGCATGGAGAAGAAGCTACCAAGAACAGCTGGGACAATGACAGAGAGGATTTCCACCATGATGTCTGGCCCTCTCTGCTCTGATTTGAGACCCGAACCTTCTCTCTCTCTCCCCCTGACCTGGTTGAAACTGCATTTCAATAAGCAGAGCTCAGATCTTGGTCTCACACTGTCTTTGAAAACAAGGGACTCTTTTTCGGTGCTGGAGTACGCCAGTTGTTCACTAGACCACATAAAATGAAATTGATAAATAAATACCTGAAAAAGCAATTAAAGTTCAAAAGAAAAGAGTTCAAAAGAAAGCCTACTTACTTGTTCAAATTCATTCTTCTGAAATTCTTCAAAACCAAAGATGTCCAGGATTCCAATATCCAGGGTCTGCAGGCTGGAAGAAAAGGAGACACCAGAGTAGCAGGGCACCCTCAGCACTCCTCCACGCCCCGCGGTCCCCGCTCCTTCGGGGCAGCAGAGCCCCGACACAGCACGGAAGGCCGATGCGGGATGAAAACATGCAAACAGGTACCTTAGAGTCCGGGGAGTCTGAGGTTACCAAAGGAAAGTGTCCCGCTAAGGCTCTGATGCCCACAGATGCCCTCATGGAAACACTCTCTTCCTAATTTTACAAGTAACGGTTCCTGGGTGGGTGAGTATTTGCTTCTCTGAACTATCCTGTGTCCGTCTCTGGAGACCTGACTTGCTTTCCCTGGGGAGCACGATCCTTTGTCTAGAGGCTCTCACTTAATTTCCTGGGTCTGTCCAGCCTCCGCAGCCTGACTACAGGAAGGCACATAACATCGGGCCCTGGGATAGATCAAACTCAGCCACCTGAAAACTAACGCCATCTTCAAAGAGGAAGTCGTACAAGAGTGAAGAAAGGGAAATTTTGAAGGGCAATTTAAAAAAATAAAAACCAGTCTTGTTGTTCAGTGTAAGCTGTTACTCCTGGAATTCGCGACGGCCTGGATGACTGTTTTAGATGTGAGCACCCACGGTACGGAAGGAAGACCACCTGCGTGACACGGGCTGCAAACGCTGTGGCCCTAGGAAGCGCACACGGGCTGCAACAGGGGCACGAGCCTGAGGTGGCATCTTGCAAAAGGAGCCTCAGACCACGAGGACCTCCGGCCACCGAGGAGGGCCACCACACCTGTCCACCACATTGACCTCAAGGTCAGGGCCACCCCTGCCGCCTTGGCTTTCAGCTGTGGGGGCGCTGAGTCATCACCCCCGAGCTCTCCCGGTTTCCACCCTCCTGTTTGTCTGGGGCTCAATTTTCCTTATTTCCTCTTGAGCTGCTTTTTCCAACTGCAGAACCAAATTGGCAGCCAACTCTGTTTTTGCAATTGTATTTTGTTTTTAACAAACATACACAACTATAATACTTTAGAGTCTGCAAAACATCACTTAAATGAGCTTTTCCTTCCTTTAAAAATGTAGAGTGATGATCCTATGATTTTCTATTAGATTATTTGTTGTAGACTGTAGAAAGATGAGATTCCTAGGTAGCAAGGAGAGCGTTTCAAAGCCCCTTACCCTAACTTCCCCTGCCAAAGTAGGAAAGGAAGTGAAAGACAGAGGAACCATTCAGTGCATGTCTCTGGTTGATTAAGTTTTTTTTTAATTTGTTCTAATTAATTATATATACATGACATGTAGAATGCACTTTGACACATCCTACATAAATGGAGTTTGATTTCTCATTCTTCAGGTTGTATGTGACGTAGAATCACACTGGCTATGTACTCATATATGCACACAGGGTAATGATGTCTGATTCATCCTACTATTTGAAAGGAAAAAGAACAAGATAGCACAGAATGTGCTCCCGTGGACTTGCAGCACCTTAGAGAGTTAAACGCTAACACAAGAAGCTACAAATGGGATCTTTCAAACACTTTAGCATCTATGAAAGTCTTTTGCAAGATAAATTGTGCAAATTAGTTTCTATTGAAGGCAGGCATTATTTAAAAGGTGTGCCATTCATTGTTAGACTTGTGAATCCACCGACACCTCCATCTCTCCATTGCCATCCTCTTAATGAGCACAGGGAGATGTCGGGAATGAAGCTCACTTCACATCAACTGTGGTGCCAAGAGTCAGGGTGGTGCTTTTGCTTTGGTTGTGTGTGCTCACCGTGTGTGTGTGTGTGTGTGTGTGTGTGTGTGACATGGGTGTGTGTGTGTCTGTATGCACATGCGTACTTTCATGTTCCCTAATGAGCCCCATTGTTTCTCCTACTGAGACTCCGCTATGAAGTTTCTTGGGCCTTAAGAGTTATTCAGCCTTGGATAGAAATCCTGGTTCAAATGCTTTGTGGATAAGTTCCTTAAATTTTCCGAGCGGCAGTTTCTCATGTGTAAAAAGAAGGTTAGTAAAATGCATCCACCTAGATGGTGGCGACAGTTAGAAGTGATATAAATGAGATTCCAGGATAATAGCTGGTGTATGTGTCTCTAGAAAATGGAAGTCACCTTAAAGAGAAAGTTATTGCATAGACTTCTGGAGTGGATGAGAACGGTCAAGTGGAACGCGCATCAATGTCTAGCAGGCAGGTGAAAATGTTCATCTCTTCAAAATTGCAAGAAAATAAAATTTTTAAAATCAGGGTGAAAAAGATTCCCCCCTACACATTTTTGGAGTTTACATTGATAAGGGCTTCCTCAGAATCAATTTGGTTATTAGTATACAGTTTTGTAATTTCGACATCATTTGAAACAATATTTCTACATATAGGAGCATATGCTAAGAAAATGATAAGAAATGCAGTGAAGACTTGTGAACAAGGATGTTCATTGTTATCTTAATTACAGCAACAGCCGCACAAAGGGATAACAAATAGCCCACACTAAAGACAATTAATTAAATAGCAGGCGTCATGTGATAGATTAATTTAATGAAACTGCCAAGTGAACAGAAAGCAACAGATAACTTCTGTGCCAGGACTAAGCCCAACTGCACACCCAGAAGACCAGAAAGAGCCGGTGCCAGGGGAGAAGACGGGTCACTTCCTCCTGCTACCCCACTCTTTCTGCATTGGAACACGTTTATTTGATAAGCAGCAGATATTCAAGTGATCTCTACAAAGGTATTATGAAAACACAGAAAACGTTCACGGACAACATTAAGCTCAATAAAATCTGGAAACAAATGCATACCCCACAGCAATAATAGGCACGATCCAACCCTGATTAGATGAACCCAGGAGTAGACGGTTAAAGATGTCAGAGGACGGCACGTAAGGGGGGCTTCTTAGCTCTCCAAGTGTTCTACACTGAGCACTACAATAAACTACTTTATTTAAAAGTCTAGGTGATGGACACCTGCTGGGGCACTCTCCTCTTGTGGAGGAGACAGACTTCAGTCCCCTGCAGGCAGGGGGAGGTAGAGTTCTCAGAGTCAGGGAGAGAAGCTGCGTTCGCAATGTCAGGGTTCGCAGCAGGAATCCCAGAAATCAGGAGAGAATGGAGGTCACTCTGCGGAAGCCACATGCCCATCTCAAGAGCGGAGGCCTCCGCTGTCCTCTTGTGTCAGGGCATGCCTCCGCTGTCAACTCCACCCTCTAGGGGCTCCCAGCTGACCTAGCCAACGGGGGCCTCGCAATTTTGGCGCACAGTTCTGGTAGAACTTAAGGAAAAGGCCGCAGACCCCAGGCCACCAGGCCACCTCCTCCACATGGCCCATTGTGGCAGGATGCCAGGGTGGTGCCATGGCACAGGGTCAGACGCACTGCCCAGGCCTGGGTGGCCCAGGTGTGTAAAGGCTTTTGACCCAGATCAACAGCAATGGCGTCAGTGCACATTTGATTGGAAGGGGAACTCTCTTAAATGATTTTTTTTTCCAGTTTTTGGGTTCCAAATATATTTGGTTACAAAATAAAGATATTTTTGAAAAGACGATAAGAAAGGAAAATCTATGGTCACTGAAAAAAGCGCAAGTTAAAGCATTTTAGGATGATTTTAGCAGTTACTGCAGACAGAACATGTTCATTTCTAAAGTCTGTTGTGTCTCTTATAAGTGAAGGAAACATGTGCCTGTGGTCCCAGGAGCACCCTTGGCCGGAAGGAGACAACAGCATGCCTGTGCCAGGCAGCAGCCAGCGCTGGTGTCCCCTCGGTGGCTTCTTACTCCTTACACAGGAGTTGAACTCACCACCCGTTTCTGGCAGGGAGGAACAAAGAGGCTCTCTGGCCAGTCAGGACTCGGCCCTTCAGGCCATATGAAGGACCCACAGGTGGGCTGCTTTAGCTCACCTTCTGCTGTGACTGTCCCCACAGCTTCCCAGTGGCCAACAGGCTGTCTGGCAGGAGTGAGCTTATTATTCAGACACCGTGCCTCTTCCATGGACAGAGTACCCAGAGCCACCTCATCGGCTGGCCTGGGTTTTATTTGACCTTCTGTGTGTAGGTACTGATGAGAGAGAACATTCTGAATCCAATAGAAGGCCCACATTAGGTCTTGGGCTAACCCCCCATCTGAGCTGAGACACCCTAGGTTTGTCCTCAGCATGCCCAGGTGATGAGGCTCCCTAGAGTTGCCTGAGCACCTGGTCCACTCTCTCGGAGCTTGACCCTGCTTGGTGCAAACCCCTAGAGAAGCCAGAGGTGCAGCAGCCACCCAGGCTGATCACGATCCACGGTGCCCCAGGGAACAGGGTGGGAACCAAACAAGATGACTTGAGCAACCTCACTGCCCGGCTTACCGGCCTTGGGGGGCAGCAGGGCCCATGTGGAGGCCAGCGTGGATGTCCCTAGGGATGGGCCAGTGCTGAGCCTGGTGCAGGTGGGCAGCACTGTCCACGTGCTCTCATAGTCACGGAAAGCAGGCTGTGGTTTGCTGGTTTTCTTAACTGACCAGGTGCATTCAGTGTAGAGGCCACTGGTCTAGGTGCCCAGCTTCTCTAAGCGGCAAGGTTTCCCTAGCTACGTGAGGAACCTGGGAGGGAGGAGCAGGACCCCGCATTGTTTACTTGGGGGGATGCCTCCCTTTTATTCTTTTCTTGAGGGTAGGGGTACTGGGGATTGAACTCAGGGGCACGCAATCACTGAGCCACATCCCCAGCCCTATTTTATATTTTGTTTAGAGACAGGGTCTCACCGAGTTGCTTAGTGCCTCACCATTGCTGAAGCTGGCTTTGAACTCGTGATCCTCCTGCCTCAGCCTCCCTAAGCCACTGGAATGACAGGCATGCCCCACTACGCCCAGCCCCTTTTATTCTTTGACTGAAGAAAGGATGAGGCCCCTCTCTCTTGGAGACCAAGCCAGGGAGTGTGGAAGCAGCTCTCAGCTGCCGACAGTGCAGCAGGGCGCTGGGAGACCCCGGAGGCCCCGGGCGCCAGCCCCCTCTCTGCTCAGAGGCTCTGTGCAAACCAACTCTTTCTTAGGTCA